TTTTTTTTTTTTTTTTTTTTGCGTCCTCCCTGGATAAGTTAATACCGCGGTGATTGCGTCGCTTCGTAATTGAAAGAAAATACAAAAAAAAATGAAGCAACATAGCGATTAGCCAAAGTTGCATGGCAAGTTTATTTTGTCTGCTTGAAATGATGTGGCAACGGAGCAGCCAGCGGAACGTTCAAGTTTTGCGACTAACAAAAAATTCCCCGAAAAAGGGGCGGGGCGCATGTATCGTGGCAGCGCATATATTGGAAAAAAAGGCAGGGAGCAAAATGGCAATTTTTTGCCAAAATAAAAAAAAAAAAAAATGGTAACAAATTTACAAAAATATAATAGCAATTATTCCACGTTTTTCCCTATGGTCCAGAGAATGACAAACGATGTATAGCTGCTGGAGTAATTAAATGCAGCGTATTTTTTTCAGAACAAAATTACGTACATTGTAAAGAGAAAAATTAAACCCATGATTTGCAACGAATAGAAAAATACGATCCTTTGCTTTTATTTCCATACTTTGCAAAAAAGAACAAAAGATTGGTTAAAAATGGAAAAAATAGAGGACCAAACTGTTTTGGAAAAAATAGCCAACATAACAGGTAAGCTGGCTTTAAAAGATTTAACATTTTGCCATGTCGCCATATGCGTGAGTGTAACTGTTACATGGAGAGACGGTTCTACACGAAACGTATTGTTCTGCGTTAACTTATGTCCGTTTCTTTTGCCCATTCAACCTGCATACGTATGAGAGCTCAAGGCGCCAGTGTATATTTTTGGCATGAGATTAAATATGAGCGTTTGATTGGACAGTTGGGGTGAATGTCTCTTAAAACAATAATGACATGTTGCTACTCTGGAATTCGGGTGGCAGGGAGTTTATATTAGATTACCCCTCCCCCTGCCCCCTTTGTTGTACCTTGTACCGTGTTCACATCTGCCACATTTTTTTTTTTTTTTTTCGTGTTTTCATTTTCATTAGCTGTGTTTTTCACATTACTCTTTTCCTTCCCCACAACAGGCTTCTTAACACTATCGTTTGTTTTTTTCATTTTTTGGGGCCCCACTAAATAGCCCTCTTTCCCTGACTATAACGTTTGATAGGAAAAGATAGTAAAGAAGTTACTAATATTTTAACCGTCTTTTCCCTTTTTTTATTTTTTTTTTTTTACAATTTTGAGGAGAGAGTTGATAAATCGATTAAAAAAAAAAAATGCTTAGAGGATTGTGTAATATCATTGGGTGACGCAGACAGGGCTGAGTGAAAGGAGGAGT